CTCCCACACGGGGAGCTTTCGTGATCACAAGTGCTAAAGTCAAGTGACAAATCGCATGTCCTGTAACTCATAACGACGCCGGGAAGCAACGAGGCTCGAAGCTACGACACCAACACCTGAAGCAACCCCCAAAAGCAAGAGGTGCAAAGAATGTCACATCTCAAGCGCATGGGGTGCCCCGCCTACAATGTCAGCTTTAACTTTGGAAGCAGCCTCTGCAAACAACAAGTTCTTGTGTACAGTGGATATGGGTGGTTGTCAATATTATGGTCCCTTTTTGAGTCCCTGTTAAATACGGCACCTAATATTGAGGGTACCCAAAAAAGGACCATAATTTTGACAACCGCCCATATACTAGTAAGAAAGAGCCAGCACCTCGGCCATCATGGAAGCGCTCTCGTTCAGCGTGGACCCGAGTCCAGCTAGCTTTTTAACCTTACTGACAGCCCAGCGGCGATGGAAAGAAGCCGTGCATGCCTTATTGCGCCCCTCTGCTCTGAGAGTCTTAGATTCATTTCAAGGATTGTTGGTTGGGTATGGGATGTCCAGGAAACCATGTCGCTCAACACACGTCCGTTGCAGTCCGGTCAGAAACCCTCCGCCAGAGAGCACGACATATACTGAGCCCTGCACTCTGCTTGGCAGAGGCCCAACACCCAGAAGCTCACACAGCTCCTTTGGAGTCAAGTGGGTTGTGAATCTCTGTTCGTTACTGCGTGGGTCTGCTTATCTGTGCTTATCAGTAGCTTGGGTAGATCCTGAAATCATTGCCTTTCGGCCTCAAGAGGGGTCGTCTGTCTTTCGGGACCAGCTAAGCTTCGTTCTAGGGGTTCAGAAACCAGGATTGCGAGCAAACCCCATCCCGAACCGGGGAACTACACCACGAACCACAGCTGGCAGGCACAAAGCAGGAAAGAAGAGAGCGCGCGTGCATGGCTCTTGCCTCACAGAAGTGGCAACAGTTTTTGTTGAGGATATCGTACTCGGACATTGGCCATTCCTGCGGGTTAGAGAGATTTCCGACAAGCCAACTGTAAGCACCCAAGTTGCTGCCTGCATCAAACTGCAGATTAACTCCACCGTCTCTTCTTCAGAGATGCTCAAGCTCCCCATGAGTACGGCCTCCAGCTTAGGAGTTGCCACTTCGCCCTACTCCAAGGCTGCGCAAGGCCTCTTGGAAAGTGTGGGAAACAGACATTCTCGGAAGGCAGCTCCAAACCTTATCTCTGCTCTGCTAATCTGCAGAAACTGCATGCAGAAGGCAAGGCATGTGTGAAGAGGCAGCTAAGCCAGTCAAGCGGCTCCAGTGTCATTCGGGTCGCAAGGACTCTCCTGTCAGCTGAACCCTTCATACACTGCAAACGCAAAAGGAAAAGGTAGCCTCAGGCCAGCCGCCGTAACTCCACTCTGTGCCAAAGACCTGGGGTTTGGGCTTAGGGCTGTCCAGTTTTAGGGTTTTAGGGTTTAGGGTTTCGGGGTTTCGGGTATGAAAGCACCCTAGATTTTTCCGCCAGGCCTGTATGGCACAGTGGAAGGCTCCAATGCCCACAGTCTTGAACAAACCATTCAGACTCTGCACCTCAGCTTGTCAAAAATTTGTGAGACTGTCCAAGGCTGAAGAAACAAGGACTTCGGTTTACACCATCAGCCTGGGCGCCGCATTGCTTTTGCCCAAGTTGTAAATGTTGAGAAAGACCAAGTCGTCCTCCTGGACAGCGTTTAGGGCTTCGGGTTTGAGGTTTAGGGTTATCTAGGCCTTCTTTTCTCTGGTCCTGACTCAGAGCATGGCTGGAGCCATCAGCGCTGGGGCCTGCAAAGACTCAATTATGGCCCAAGCCTTTCTTTGGGAAATGCTATCACTCATCACATAAGTCTTTAACCAACTTCAACATCTTCAACCCTTCCGCAGCATCCGGGACTTTGGCCAGCACTGTTGCAGCTTGGCACTTTGTAGTTTGGGCAAACGTCTCACACCTCGATGGAGGTACCCTCGGCGCGGTGTCCACTTTGAGGCGTGTAAGGTCCTCAACACATTCCCAGTACGAACCCACTGGCGGGATCGGAAGGTCATCCACACGAATACTTGCAGTCCGCAGACCCTCACATATTCATATGTGTTCTGTATTCTGATGAGCAGCTCCAACCCTGCATCAAGAACCGAATTGTCTGAGAACCAAAGGCTCTCCCGGAATAATGTGACTTGCAGCAAGTAACTTTTCAGGGACCTACGTGTCCTGCCGACACTGCTCCGCATGCTGTCGCAGCCATCCGAGAGTAGGGCACCAGTCAGGTCCAGTAACGTAGCCTTTGGTGGAACAAGCTCTGGGGGGTTCTCAAAAGGGGTACCTAAGGGGCCCGCGGGAGACATCGGCGCTCTAAGGGAGTCATAGGGTTCCAGTCATTGCAGAACGGGTATTTTCGGAAACTCCCTTCTGGCTGCATCTTCAAACTCAACCTTGGCCTTCCCAAAAAAGTATCCACAGCACGCTCTTACTACAAAGCACTGCTTCGTCACCTCCGCTTCACTTCCTGCGCTACATAGCTTCGCATAAAGCAGGGGACACTGAGAGAATGATATAAAGTCAGGCAAGGTTGTTGCCCTCCTTGGCAACGATAGCTATCCTGCCTCCTTCGACCACATTTTCTAAGGCTGCAGGCTAAGTTTGCATAAAAGCGACTGAGAGAAGACAGTAGGGCGACCTGACCTGGGCTGCAGCAGCATACTTGCGGTATCCGTGCACTTTACAACTATTCCACAACATCAAAGCCCATACCTCAAGCTTGTGCCCAGCGACGTTTCCACTCGTAATGCGCAGCGAGTTCAGGCCCAGTCGAAGCGTGCCAGCGGGGAGGGGAAAGGCGCTAGCGACGAACTTATGATGAATCGACTTGCGTTGCGCAGGGTCGTAGTCGCCTTTGCTCAGAACAGCAAATCCTGTTCTCACTGGCAACAAATGCGAAAACAGGTGATGCTACGCATGCCTGCGGAAACTAGTTTCATCCAAGTCGCAAATCACAACGGAGTCATTGAGCTTAACATCAACAGGGCTGTAGCCTGAAGCAACTGGGATGTCAAGAGGTAATTCAAGGCGTTAAGATCGTTAAGGTCATAAATGTCAAAAGAGCCTTCGACACAACCTCGCGCAGGGGCTGTTCTGTGCACCAGGGCCAGTTGGCAAAGGAGCGGGAGGTCCTCCAATTCCTGAGGCTCAATCCATCTTTCCAGCATGGATGGAGTGACAGCTTTCTGGATGTACTTCAGCGCAGCCAAGCTTCGAATGAGACTTCCAAGTAGCAGTGGCTGCCTATGCAACCAAACTACCAATTTCATGTGAACGCCCACTAACTGCTCAGCAACTGAGGCAAAGTCTGAAGAACAGGACTTGTGCCTCATCCTGGGAAAGAACGCAGCAAGCATACCACATCATCCTACATGGCGATGCAAGAAGACGTCCTCAGAAGGAAGTTTCCATGACAGAAAATGGTGACCTGGCAAGAGCTCGTGACAGCAGGTATGCCACTTGCATCTGATTTCTCAGCTTCCTCCATCTATGAACCATTGGTGCAACTCAAGTGCAAGATGCGGAGCAGAGGAAGCTTCTGCTCTGCAGACAGTTCTGGCTTGCCCAAACTCAATAAGCGCCTTCCGCATCTTTGAAGGCAGCATTTGTCTGCACCTCGGAGGCAGACCCTGCACATGAGGTTCTTTCTTTGCGTATGCAGAGCACAGAAGCTCATGTACAGGTATCCCCAAAACGGTGCATGGTGGGCTAAACGCTGCTCAAAGCCCCTGGCATCAGCAATCGGACCATCGACCACAGCCTGCCTTGTGGCCCAGTTCAGGTTCCACAGCTCATCTCCTGCAAGCTGCAGGGCTATGCGAACATGTAGGATTCACAAATGAATGGTTGTCGCACGAAACCTGGAAGTGCTGACGCAGACTCTGAGACATGGTGAGTCCTGGTAGCTCAGCACTCTCGGGCCTCCATCTCATGGCATGGACGTCCTGCATACGCTGCTCAAGCTCCTGCACCGCGTGTCACCGTCAAAGTTCAATGCTTACAATTCAAAGTCAGAGTCCACCAATACATGGGAGTTCACAAAATTAGGGTCTCGCTTTGATACCCCTAAACATCAGGTGCCGTAGTAGAACTTATAACCAAAAGGGGCCCATAATTTTGAGAACCACCCATGACCCCGGATTTGTCCTGGAAAGTCCCACGGAAGCCAGGCTGCAGCAACACCCCGAGGCAATTCCCGTCAACATGGCGCAGGACCAGCACAGGAGACCTCTGCTGGCTAAGTCGCAGCGAACAGCACAGCAAGCAGGTGCGAGGAGGAGCAACAAAAAAGTTAGCCTCCCCAACAGAAAACATGGCAGTGAAAATGCCGCACATGATACCCGCATCCGAACTACGATCAGAGCGCTATCGAGATGCCAGCAGCTCACGTGCAGGCCTTGCGCATTCCACACGAGGCCGGCTGCCTCGTCCAGTCCCAGGCCCCAGAGGCCTGGAAAGCAGGTGACCATGGCCTCGGAGGGCACTGAAACAGCTGCGCTGAAGTAAAGGGGAGTGGGGAAGTGAATCTAAGTCTAGCGGGTTCTTAAAGGATTGCCGCAAGTAGCCACAAAAAGCAAAAGCAGAACGATATTGATGCAACTGTAAGTCAGGAAAGCATGGCAGTCATCGTCAGAACAAGAACAATGACAAGTTTACCGTCCTCCAAACCAACATGAAAAGCGTAGGGCCCTTGTCGGGCATCCATGTCAGTTTTAGGGGGCAATAACAAAAGCAATGAACTCGACGTTAACTCATTTCGCCCGGCGGCTGCCAGTCTGTCCTGGCGCCCTCTCCTGAAGAGGTGCGTCAGCACCGTGGCACCTGCCCCAGAATGCCATATGGTCTCAGCTCTCATGATAGCTGACATCGCTGAAGACATTGCAACTAAAACTTTACAACCACATTGCGAAGGCCTGGCACAATGTCCAAACCCTGCAAGATCTCGTCGTGGTTCGGGCACATAGCACCTTGCAAGCACCATTGTAGGTTCAGACCTCTACATCCCCTTAAGCTCACGGGTTCGGGAGAGAGCGCTTGAGCTTTGCACGAACAATTTCTTGCTCGCACCTTCCTGCCTATGGCAACTAATACTGCTACTGCTACTGCTACCGCTACGGCTGCTGCAGCTGCCGTTGCCGTTGCGGCCACCGCCACCGCCACCACCACCAACACCTCGACGAGGACAACGACGACGACGCCGCCGTCACCACCACCACCACCACCACCACCACCACCTCTACCACCACGACAGCGACGACGACGAAGACAACGACGACTACTACTGCTGCTGCTACTACTACTACTACTACTGCTACTACTACTTGCTACTAGTATTACTACTACTACTGCTACTACTATTATTACTACTACTACTACTCCAGTCGAGCACAGCCGGTCGAGTCAGCTAGTGAACAGCTAAGTGGCAACGACAGTTCGCCAGAGGGGGAGACAATGCTACGAATAACCATGTAATTAACTCCAGTCAACATCCAACACTTGCTCCTTCGCTATACACTATACAGCAAGTTCTCACTATTGGGTCAGGAAACTTCCTGGGCACTTCCAACTGTAGATCTCCACATCACACAGGTGCTACAGGGACTCATCGCATCGCGCAAATTGCCTTTTCAACCTTGTGCAGTGCAGGCCTGCATGGGTCACTGGCTCGCGAGGGCCATGTGTAGCGGGAGCGAACAATCTGCAGCGAATGACGCCACATTCCCGAAGATGGACACGCATTGGCAGTCATCCGGAGCAATCCCACTTAGTCATGAACGTAGTGGCCGACACGTCGGCGGCACCT